CCCCCCCCCCCCCCCCCCCGCCCTCCATTCCATCCCTCTCCTACCCCTCGTTCCCGTACCCGTTCTTCTTCGATCTTGGGGCCTCAATCCTCGTTCTTTCGATCGTCGTCCTGTGAATCGTGCAACGCATGCGCATCCCATGTAGCTTGCGCAGCAAATCGCCGCGTCTGCACTGTCGTTGTTCCTGCTAATGTTGGCCTACTCCTCTTGCCATTTGATGCACGTGGGTTGGGTACGTCGCAGGGTAAATATTTGAACTCCTCGGCAAACTTTATTTGAACTTTGAACAAATACAACAAAAGGCTCACTCTGCCTGAGCTCCAGCATTACAATCGTAGAAACATCCTTCCCAACCCGTCTGCGCTGGGTTCTCGGATCGTTTTGAAAACAACACTGTAGTCTTTACCTCCTCCTCCTCATCATCATCCTCCTCCTCTCCCGCCTCCTCCTCCTCTTCCTCCTCCTCCTCCTCCTTCTCCTCCTCCTCCTCCTCCTCCTCCTCCTCCTCCTCCTCCTCCTCCTTTTCCTCCTCTCACGCCTCCTCCTCTTTGCCTCCTCCTGCGCTGCTCCCTGGGTGGCTGCGATGCGCAACTGCCGCCAGTTCCGTGGGCTCCTGGGAGGCACGGCAGAGTGGTGGAGTGAGCGGGTCTAGAAGAGACTTCGCGGCTGCCTGGGGGGCTGCGACGTGAGCATTTGTCGCCATTTTCGTGGGCTCCTGGGAGGCACGGCGGAGTAGAGGGGCACGCGGGCCCATGAGGCAAGGCGGAGTCGGGGAGTACACGGATGCAGACTAAACCTCGCAACTCCTTGGGTGGTTGCGAACTGCGCAATTGGCCGCTTTCGCGGGCTACTGGGAGGCACGGCGGAGTAGGGGAGCATGCGGATTCAGGCGAGACCTCGCGGCTCCCTGGGGGGCTACGGACTGCGCCATTGTCGCCATTGTCGCGGGCTCCTGGGAGGCACGGCGAAGCAGAGGGGTACATGGGCCCATTTGGGACCTCGCATCTCCTTGGGGGTCTGCGGACTGCGGAATTATCGCTACTTTCGTTGGTCCTGGGAGGCAGGCGGGGATG